TTCCACAGCTAGTAAACCAGGGTAAAGACTGTGTGCAAAGCATCCAGGAAAATGAACTTCTGTTCTCTTTCCCCCTCCCATCAGCGGGAGAAGCTGATTTACAAAAATCAGTCCATCTCAGGGAGGCGAGACTGAGAGCTTCCCCCTTGCTGGGTCCGTGATGGCTCCAGCGTTAAGCCTCTGCTTAGCATCATGTGACACTTTGTCCATCTCATTAAATAGCCTTTGAAAACATTACCTCTTTCCATCTTAACACTCTTAAAGCAGTCACTCTGCAGTGGAGAATTCTAGAAAACACTATCTTACCACACGATGAAGGTTCCTATCGCCTATGATGTTGTGTGGCTATCACATGCCCCTGAGCCGATGTGAGAAGGCACCTCCCCCCTGTGGCATTCGTGCCCCAAACCCTTAAGACCAGTGTAATCAGGAGAAAAACATCAGAGTAACCCAAATTGAGGAACGCCCCACAGGATAGCTGAGTATTACTCCTCAAAACTGTCATGGTCATAAAAAACAAGGAAAGACTGAGGAGCTATCACAGACCAGAGGAGATTGGGGAGACATGACAGTAAATGCAGTGTGGACCAGGCACCACATGATCAGAAAACGCAAACTGTTTCAGGGTCCTGCTCTGGACCCTGAGACAGAAAAAAGACATCAGTGGGAAAACTGATGAAATCCAAATAATGTGGTTTAATTAATAGTGATGTCCCAATGTTGGTTTCTTAGTTGTGCCAATACATGTACCACAATAATGTAAGATGCTAACAGTGGAAGGAAATGGGTGAGGGGTATATAGAACCCATGTATTACAATTGCAGCTCTTCTGGGAGCCTAAATTTATTTCAAGAGGAATCATTTATTAGAAGGACCCCCCCCCCCAAAAAAAAAACCCAACACTCTTCCCTTGGCCTCCATGGTATTGGGCCACTATGTTCTCCCTCTGTGTGCGTGCGTGAGCTCGCCCGTGCGTGTGTGTGTTCTTACTCACCAAATGACAGCTACCACAGTAGGCACTGTGAAAAAACAGGCCAGCAGGGCAGACCCAGTCTGGTCCTGCCCTCATGGGAATATAGTTTAGAGCAGGAATTTTGGATTGAGTTGGACGTGAGGTTGCACCACCAGCTCCGCTTCTCTCTAGAGACTGCATGATCCCAGGTAAGGCACTTCATCTCCTGAAACCTGCTTTTCCCCTCTGTAAAAAGTGCTGAATGGTGTGCACTTTATAGTATTGATGTGAAGAATCAGTGAGATAACATACAAAAGTCCTAACCCGTAAATGTTCAGTAAATATTTATTAAAGGAACCTTGGATCCTTTTTCAAAAGACACCTGGATCATGTCTGCAGCCTCCCGTGCAGTTTCTCTACCTCTAGTTTCACTTCGATGGAAGGAGTTTAATGCAAGAGGCAACCAAGAACAACAAAGAAGGTAAATCCTGGTCATAAATAAGTACAGGCTGTAAAAAAGAGGTGCTGTTATGAGTCAATGGAGAAATGGACAAACAACTGATAAAAGGCATTGGGCCAAAACCTGGGCAAAACCTTTGATTACTTTTTATGACAATGAGACATTTTAGAATATCAGGGAGGTAGACTGGCTGGGTTCCTAACCCAATTCTACCACTTACTAACCTTGGACAAGTGACTTGATCTCTCTTTGCTTATTTCCTCATCTGTAAAAGAGGGATCATAATAGTACTTACCTCATAGACTTGCTGTAAGGATTAATATAGGTAATTAAAATAGGGAAATACAGGGTTAAGATAGGTAAAGCACTTAGACCAGTCTCTGGCTCAAAGTAGCACTGTATGTGTTACCTATCACTGCCCATTTATCCCCAACACCACATGGTGCCAATAGCACCTCTGCCCCCTGTTCTTTGCCCAGCGGTGGGGGAGATTTCCATTATCCAAAATGGACCAGAATAACAGTTCATTTGGTCTTAGGGCCCTGGTCAAGTCTTTGCCATAACGACCAGTGTAATAGTGGTAATTGTGACCCGCCCCACCATTCATTTGACATGGTTTCTGTAAATGCTGACTCAGACTAATGTGTAGTTTGTAGACAAATAGCATGTTTGTATAAGAATCCTAGGAACTAACTTTAGAAGATACAGACTCCGACCTTTAGTCATCCCAGTCGGGGGAGGTTTGCTGACCTTTAAATGTAGAACCAGCGTGACGAAGAATCAGGATGATGCACACCAGGCCACCACTTGCCAGTTTCCAGGTCCTTGTTGGAATGGACTGTGCTGGTTGGCACACAGAGAACTTTAGACCCCTTCCCCTGCAGCAGCAAGACACTTTCCATACGAACTAATCTCATAGATACAAGATTTAAAACTAACAGGGGGGAATGATAGGGGAGGGGCACGTAATAGAAATAGAATCAGAGTTGTTTAATAGCTACTCACTATAAAGAAGAGATTTTCTTACAGACCCTGGCAAACTGAAGGACGAGTTACAAGGAGAACAGACCCTGGAGATAAGGCCGCCCAGAGCCCAGATCAAGGACAGAACATATCTGAAGGGAGATAGCGTTCCAGGGCTAATCTTTGCAAGGACAATGAAAGAAGGCAGACTCTGGGAACTCACTAACTTTAGATTTTCCCACACCCACTAACCCTATATAAGAGCTTGTTTGAAATGAAATGTCAGAGCAGTTTTCTTCAAGGTACTATACCTGCTGCTCTCTCAGATTGCTGGTTATGTGATTAATAAACGCTCATGAAAGATTCAACTTTGTCTCTGCTTATTGGCTTAGTGACAACAGGCAGTAACGGACCCGTTGTGTCTGGTATCACCAGGACATTCCATAGTGGGAGAGGTCTTTTCACTTAGAAGAATTATTTCATTACAGCATTAGTTGGATGTCATTGGTGACATCAAATCTCAACTCTTACCTCATTTGGCACCCTGACAGCCAGATCATGATAGTTTTCAATATGGATTACACAACAGCTTCCTTTTATTTTTTGTAGCAAACCTTATTTTGAGAAAAGATTTAGATTTACAGAAAAAAATTTGAAGATTAGTACAGAGAGTCCCCAAATACCTGGCATTCAGCTCCCTTGTTATTAACATTATATTGCCTTTTAAATTCAACATTATGTCTTTGCGATACAGCCATGTTGATATATAGATCTAATTTATTCATTCTAACTGCAGTGTATTATTCCATTAACCTGGAAGCTTTTCACGGTCTCACATGGCACAGGTTTTAGTGCGAGGAATTCCATCTCCCTCTTAGTGAGGTCTATCAAATCCTGAGTTCGGCAGTGAAAATACTTACATAGTAGTAATGTTGTAAAATGTCATCTGGTTTTCAATGTTAAGAATCAATCTACAAGCAAAGTACGGCAAACCGAATCACCTTTTACAGAATAGAATGTACATGCCACAAACCTTGACAAAGCAAAAGTAAAAATTGAACTGGTGGAAGAAGGCAGCAGTGGGGAGGGGAAATTATTCATTTCCCACAGAGGAAAATCAAATGATACAATCTAAGGAAGAAACAGATATTTAAAGCTATTATTCAAAATGATAATCGTAACCAATAGAAAAACGAAAAATATGACTATAAAAAAATTTGGGAGGAGAAAGGGGCAAAGGATGGTTTACGAAGTCACCACAGCAGGGAATCAGTAGATGCTGCTAACATTAATAAAACACGTAACAGAGAGTGAGCACATTACTCACAGTTATGGAAATAACATAAATAAAAAACGAAAACGGCAGCATAATAAAAAAAGAAAAGAGTAAGGCTGCTCCTAGGTTGGGAAGTGCGAGGACATTTAAAAGTTTTTATTTCTAACTTTTACATTGGGCTTGGATGCGCATTTTTATCTAAACGAATTATATTTTTATATTTGAGATAGTTATTAAAATAATAACTAATTAGGCAAAAAGATCTGATTCTGACATTCCCCTAGGGGCTCAGGCACTCTCAGTAACTCCCCATCGCCCGAGGGTCAAGTTTAAACTCCCGAGGCCCTGCGACGTCGAGGCGGGACTTCGGGCTTCAGGCGCCCACCTATCTCTGCTCCGGAACCCGCGCGAGAGGCGCCTCCTCCGGAAAGCCCTCTGGAGGGACAGTGCGCCCTCTGCTGGTGCCAGACGCCAGTGCGAGGGGGCTGCCGCCCTCTGCGAACCTTCGGAGAGACGACGCCCCCACCCCTCAGCCGGGGCTCCTCGCGTCACGTGATTCCAGCCCCTTCCCAGCTGGGGGTGGAACCCTGGAATGGGGGCGCCAGGGGGCTCGGTGTGAGAGCTTCTGGACGGTTTGGAGCGGAGTTCCCTGAGCGGTAGGAGGCTGCCCTTGTCAGGCCTGGGAGCCTGGCTGGGGTGTCAGGCCGAACAGGACCGATGTAGGGGGGCTGGGGCGGGGTGGGGGTGGAATTGAGCCCCTTGGTGTCCGCGTGAGGGGTGGTTTAGAGCTGGGCGGTAAGCTCGGGAGAGGACACCGGCTCTCGCCGTCCTGCCCGCGGCCCCTGGGCGAGTCACGAAACGTCCCTGTATCTCGGTTTCCTCACTCATGGCTGCCAGTGTGACATGAAATAATACGCAAAAGTGAGTAATGAATAGGTGGTAACTTAATATTATGTCCCATTTAAGAAAAAGTGTAAACGCGCAGAGATGGGAAGACCTTGAGGCCGCTGTAGTTCAGCCCCCTCGGTGGCTCTCCCGCGCCTGGGGCGCAGGCCCCGCGGGGTGTTTCCGTGGCTGGGAGCTGCCTCCGGGCCCTGTGGCCTCCAGGCCTCGAGAGCGGCAGGGCCCGGGGGCACCCGGAGGGAGGCTGTCCCCACGTTCCCAACAGCCCGGCGTCCTGATGGGCCAGTGAGCGAGGCCCTCCATGATGAAGTCTCTTCTCTGTCTCCTGGCAGGGCCCACGCTCTGCTTTTGGCCCCTGTAGGTGGAAGACATGTCTCAGGAAGAGGCTGCAGGGGGCTCCAGCACACAGGACCCCGTTCCCAGCCCCCGCCGTGGCTGCGGGCTTTTCCAGGACGACATGGAGAAAGCTAGCTCCGTGTCAGGCCTGGCACCAGACCTGCCCGGGGCGAGCGCTAGGGCCCGAGTTTCGGCTGGCAGAAGGAAGAGGTTGCTCAGGGAAGAGGCCCATCGAGGTGCCAGCTGCCAGGCTGGGGGTACTCCTGGGACCAACCTGGAGGCCAAGGCCCGCTTGGTGGCCCTGGAGCTGCAAGCTGCGGGACAAAGCCAGGATTTGGTGCCTGGCCCTAAGCTCCACGTCCAGCTGCCCACAGTGCCTGCTCAGGAAAGGGCTCAGGCCTCCAAGAGGCTCCAGATTTCTCTACACAACATCTTAGATGAAAATTGGGCCAGGAATCTTTGTAGCATGCCTGTGGGTCTCCCAGAGAGAGCTTTGGTTGGCAGGGAGAAGCCAGCAGGGGTGGAGAGGGCAAGCTGCCCCAGGCCCACAGGGGTGGGAGAAGGTGGGAGGAGTTCTCCAGGGTGTGATAGGAGAAGCCCCACCCTCGGTGAAGAGGAGCCCCCCAAAAGGGAACTGCTGTCCTCACTAGGTTCAGCCCCCGTTCAGACAAGAAAGAAAAGCAGGAAGTGTAAGACCTGCTCAGAGGGTGGGGAGGGGGTTGGTGGCTTCTTGTGGCTTGGTCAGAGCCTTGGTGGGGACAACCCCCAGCGTGTGGGAGATCCCCCTCAAGGTGCTGACTTGGAGTCCTTGGGAGGCCTTTGCAGTCCTCTTTTTCCCAAGAACACTGGGTCTGGACCAGGAGATTCAGATGGAAGTTGTGCGGGGTGTGCCACAGGGACTGAGAAGTTCAGATATTTGACCGATGCAGAGGATGGGGCCCAACCAGGCAGCTCCTATGACCCTGTCGCGTTCCCACTGCCCAATGGAGGGCTGTCCCTCAGGCCAGCTGCCCAGGATCCTCCCCAGAGCCCTGCACTATGCCTGGGAGTGTCTGGAAAGGTTTCCACAGAGCAGCAGGAAGCTGAGCAGGTCATGGTGGGGGCTGGCGGTGATGATGGCCCTGCCGCCTCATGCACCGAGGAGGAGCTGGAGGTCAAGGCTTGGCCAATGTCTAGGGGGAGGCTGGGGCAAGGACTCTCTGCTCCCACTGACACCCCTGCCGGCTCCCCAGAGTCTGCAGCCAACACATCTTGCTCAGGCTCATTCATGGGGCAGAGAAGATCCAAGTGTGCTAAGTTGGGGAGGGTCTCAGTGCCCCCTGCCGAAGACCAGGGCACAGACAGAAGCTCAGACAACTTCAGCCAGGACCAGCCAGCAGCATCCTGCCCAGGAGGCTTCCCCAAACTGGTAAGTTGAGCCTGAGCGGTTGGGGTAGGAAGGGCCAGGCCAGCCTCAACACCATGTTTGGCAGTGGAATTTAATAGAGCTAAGCTGGGTGGACTCTTAATGACTATTATCCCTCATGCCCATGTTATACATGACTAAACTGAGGCCCACCGAGTCAGGAAACTAAAAATAAACTGCACTTGCTGACATTTTGGTAAGTCCTGGGTTCAAATCTTGCTTCTGCCCACTTAGCTGAGTGACCTTGGAATATTTTTAATCTCTCTCTTTCCTCATATGTAAAAAGAATGAGAAAATTAATTCCAGTTTAATGGAGTTTCTCTGAGGATTAAACGAGATGATGGTGTAAAATAATGCACCTAGCACAGCATGTGGCACAAGGTAAATGACTTAATTTACATTAAATTGGCTTTTGCTTTAGTGTCAACAATAGCTGTACAAGGTGGGCCTCAGTTTAGTCTGTATTTTCAGATGGGGAAATGGGCTCAGGGAAGTTCACAGACTTCTCCAAACTCACACACAGAGAGGGAGTCAGTGCCTGGCATGTTCCCTGTATTGTTCTTTTACTTTTAATAATTGTCATTTTATTAATAATCATAGCTAACATGCTTATACACCAAAGGCAGAAGATGGTACTGCCTGTTTTTGGTGTATACTCTCCCATAGTTGAAATTTTTATCACACCTGTTGAGTATTTATTGTGTGCTAGGTGCTTTTGATTGAATTTTCACATGAAGCCCAAAGAGGTAAGGTAACGGGCCCCAGGTCTCCCATCTGGTGAGTGAGGGAGCCAGGATACAAACATAGAGGTCTGTCCTGAGAGCTCGCTGCACTGCCTGCTTGTGCATGTTCCCCGCTGGGGAAGATTGCCACTGGGGAACAGTACTACCATTACTGTCAGCAAAGCAGCTAGCCTGCCTGCCGTGTGCTGAGTACTGTTCTAAGCACTTTATCTTCAATATTCCTAACAACCCTATGAAGTAGATGCCATTGATATAAACCCGTTTTATTGATATGGACACTGAGACGCAGAGAGGTGAAACTACTAGTTCAAGGCCAAACAGCAAATTAGTAGAATTGGCATAGGAACCAGTGAGCTTCTTGTGTGGTTTACCACTATCTGGTGCTGTAATTACCTGAGAATGCAATTACATTGTTTTTGTGTCACTCAAAATCATTAATTTTTAATAAAAAAAACCCCTAATGTTTGTTTATCATAGAAAATAAAGAAGAAATAAAAATCCCCATAATGCCAACATTCAGGGCTATCTCCTGGTGACATTTTGGAATATGTCCTTTTTTCCATATTTTCCCTGTGCATATATATCTTTTCTTTGCCTAGAAATGGGATCACATGTGCCAAATTTTTTATAACTTGATTTTTTGGTATTTAACTTTTTTTCACAATTTATTGTTAGCACAGAATGAGGAAATCCCTTTGAACGCCTCCCGGCCCCATTGCCTTTCTTCTGGAGAAACCACTGCTAACAGAGCCTTTCCTGCCTCCTTTCTGTGAACTGTGCACATGTGAATGCCTACATGTTGTGCCTTCTTGTCTGTAAATAGGCTCTTACTACACTCATTGTTCTGGGGCTTGCACTTTGTTTTTCATGAGCTGTGGTATTTGAAGATTTTTCCAAGTTGGTACCTGCTGTTCTGATGAACCCCTGAATCCTGCATCATAGCAGTTACAGACATGCTTGTCACTGGCCCTGCTAGGACCACAGGATGGGCTGGGGCTTCCTTTTCTCATTTCCTACCTCTTAGTGTGGTTCAGAGCACGAAGCCTGGAGGTCACCAGACTGGCGTTGCCACTATCTGAGTGACTTTCTGGAGTATCTCCTAGGGCGGCAGTGGTGAGCATGAGGTGACGTGTGCTTGGCAGTTAGCAGGGTACCTGGTGTGAGAAAAATATTCAAAACTGTTACCTGCTGTTGACATACAGGTTTGTCCTGCTCTAAGTAATGCTGGGGTGAACATCGCTGCGCACCTGGCTTCTCCCCAGTTCACATTAGTTATTTAAGCCAGGTGCCCAGAATCGGGGTTCCTGGGCCACAGCGTTTTGAGGGGCTAGTTTGAGCTTGGTGGTGGAGCCAGGTGTCACCTGCCTTGACTGGAAGCAGCCCACGGCTGCTGCTCTCGCCTCCAGGCCCTGTCCTTGACTCTGCGGCACAGCCCGGCATCCCACAGCTTCCCAAATAACCTGTTGTCATGGCAACTGGTGCCAGCTGCAGGAGAACTGAGGCTGGGCATGACAGGGACGGGCGGGTGACTGAGGACAGGGCCGAGTGGGGCATGGGCATAGTGTCCAGCTGGTCTGAAGCCCCTTTTAGGGCTCTAGCACCTTCTCCTGGAGGCAGCCTGGCTTGTGCCAGGGGCAGACAGACAGGTTCGAGGTCAGGCTCTGATCCTTACTACGGATGAGAGATGTCTCGTCTCTAAATCTTACTTTCGTCCTCTACAAAATGGGGGAATCAGCTGGGCTCCAGAACTGCGGGGAATGTGGTGTGTGAGGTTGGTCATGTTGAAGTCCTCTGGCTTGAAATAGAGACACTTGATGGGGCGGGGGGAGGTGGGTTGAGATGCCATTATCTTTTCTGTCCTGAGCCCCACAGTGGTCAGGGAGGTCTGGAGCTGCTCTGTGGATGGCAGGGGCGTGGGGAGGGCAGCTCTGCCCGAGTCCCCTGCTCTGCCCATCACAACCAGGGAGGCACAGAACTCCTCTGGCCCCACCCAGGTCCCCAGCCTCAGGTGTCCTGTGTGTAGCTGCAAAGTGTCATGAGGGGTGTGAGAGAGGACTGTGTCTTTCCAACAGATGCACAACCTAAGAATAGCTCTTTATTGAGTTCTTATTGTAAATAAGGAACGTCACATATGTCATCATCTCATACTTTAGTCCTCACCATAGCACTAAAAGTCAGTGTTAATATCCCAGCTTTGCCAGTTAAGAAATCTGGGATTCAGAGAAGGTAAGTGAATGCTCAGGGTCACACAGCAAGTGAGTGGTGCAGCCAGGATTTGAATCCAGGCCCGTAAGACTCCAGAGTCCATGCTCTGAGCCAGGCTGCCAAAGGCCTGGCTAAGGGGCTTGGATTTATGGGATTTTATTTTAATTTCTTCAACAAGTGGGAAGTGGGAGACAAGTCACCAGGGAGGAAGGAAGAGGGAGAGAGAGAAACATGAGTCGGTTGCTTCCCATGCCTCCCCGACTGGGCATTGAACCCACAACCTAGGTATGTGCTCAGACCGGGAATTGAAACTGCAGCCTTTTGGTGTGTGGGATGACACTCCAGCCAAGGGAGCCACCCGGCCAGGGCACTTCTACTTATTTTTTGCCGTGAAGTCTGCTTTATCCGATATTAATATAGCTACAAACCTGTATTTTGGTTGATAATTGCCAATTCACATATTATTTCATTTTTTCCTCAACCTTTTTGCATTGTTGTATTTTAGAAATGGGTCTTATGAATATCTTATGATTGGATTTTCTTTGTTAAAGGTCTGATAATTATTTTTATCTATCTGAAGTATTAGTCCATCTACATTTGCTGTAATGACTGATTTATTTGAATTTCATCCTACTGTCTTGCTTTGTGCTTTGCACATACCTTGCATTTTCTGTACTCCCCCCACCTTTTACCGCCTCCTTTTAGGTTAATTTTTTCTAATTCCTTTTTATCTCTCTAGTAGGTTGGAAGTTTTCTATGCCCTGTTGCTATTCTTTTGGAGGCTATTTTAGAAATTTTAGCATGAATACCTAACTTACCAAAGTATAAAGGCTGTTGCATCTTTATCTTTCCCCTGACATGATATAAGGATCTTGGGGTGCTTTAATTCCAGGCATGAAGCTTCCCAATTTATGTGCTGCTGTTACTCAGTGAGTTGTTCCTAAGTTATTTTTTTAATTCCACAAATTGCACAGTTATCATAGTATCATAAATCAATGTTTATTTAGATTTAACAGCATATTTAACATTTCCTTTGCTCAAGATTCCTCCTTGCATCTCAGCTTTTCTATCTGGGACCATTTTTCCTTTTTTTCTGCCTCAAGTTCATTCTTTAACATTTTGTTTATTGAGAAAAATTAAATTACGAAGAAAAACAATAACTTGGTTTTCTCTATGGTATTTTTGTTTTATCTTCATTCTCAGAAGAGATTTTGTCGGGGTCCACAATTGATAGTTATTTTCTTTAAGCACATTGACAATATTCTGCTGTGTTTTGCCTTCCATATTGCCGCTGAGAAGTTAGCTATTAGTCTAACTGTCATTCCTTTGCTGGTAAAACGTCTTCTGGTGAGAGGCATTAGGAGCAGTGGTTAAGGTGTGGCCTGTGGAATCAAGACTGTGGCTTTAAAGCCTAGCGCTGTGGTTTGCTAGGTGCGTGACACTGGGCAAACTGATTAACCTCTCTGTGCTTCAGTTTCCTCTCCTGTAAAATGGGAACAGTACTGATACCAGCCCCTAGCAAAGGGTTGTGGTGATGATGAAGTAAACTAACGTGTAAAGCATGCAGAGCGGTGGTAGCACATTTTCAATGCTGTTCAAGCGCTAGCTGTTATTTTTCTCAACGCTTTTAGGATCTCCTTACTGTTGGTGTGGAGCAGTTTCACTATGGCTTGTCTAGGTGCATATTTCCTTTTACTTATCCTGTTTGAAATTCACTGAGCTTCTTGAATCTGTGAATTGTTGTCTTTGATCAATTCAGGAAAATTCTTAGCCATAGATCTTCAGATATTACCTCCGCCCCATTCTCCGTCTCCCTCTGGAACCTTAGATTAATTAGTCATTTTCACTCATCCTTTGTGTCTCTTTGACTGTGTCTCACGGTCTGTGCTGTGAACAGTCTCAATAACTTAGGAAATCTATCTTCTAGTTCACTTGTGTCAGTTGTGTCTAATATGCTATTATACCTATGTATTGAGTTTTTAATTTTAGTTATTGTTATCATATTTTTTTCATTCCCAGAAGTTGTGCCTGGTTCCCAACCAAATCTGCGTGATCATTTTTTCGTAACCCTCACCTGAGGATATGTTTGCTGATTTTAGAGAGAGAGGAAGGGCGGGGAGAGAGAGAGAAACATGGATGTGACAAAGAAACATTGATTGGTTGCCATCTGTACATGCCCAACCGGGGATCGAACCCGCAGCCCAGGTATGTGCCCTGGCCAGGAATTAACTCCAAGACCTTTTGGTGTCTGGGACGATGCCCCAGCTGAGCCACGCCTGTCAGGGCTTCCTTGATCATTTAAAACAAAATCATTATTTTTTGCCTTTTGTTCGTATGTTCGACCCTTTTCTTTCATTAGCATGGTGCATGTATGTATTCAGTATTCCTGCCTGGTGGGTTCAGTACCTAGAGTCTTCCCCGGCCTGATTGCTCCTGCTGTTTGCAGCCTCCGGACCCTGAGACGGCCGGCCGAGAGGTTTTAAATCATGAAGGGCTGTTCTTAATCTTTCCTGCTTTCCCTCCCAGATGTCCCGTTTTCTTCTCCCCGTCTCTTCCTCAATGTATTTTTTTGAAAGGCTGATTTAAAAAAAAAAAAAGTGAGAAGTCTCCTCCCCAGCTCCCAGTCCCTTTCCTATTGGCAGCCTCGGTTATTAGGTTCTGGTGGATACTTTCAGAATTTTATGCAGACTCAAGCAAATACAAATTTAAAAATTCTTTTTAATGCAAGTGGTAGCACACAACACAAATTGCTCTGAACTTGTTTTTTAGTTTAAAAAAACATGTTTCTGATTATAAAAGAAATACGTGCTCATTTTGAATAATATAAATACCCAAGTGCCTGTAAGTGGAAAGCAAAAGTCCCCCTGTTATTTCATTCCCCAGAGATAACCTCTGTTATGCAACTCTAAATATGTATTTACATAAATGGGCTTATGCAACAGAGACTATTTTGTCAGCCATTCTTATTATTTTTCTCCTGATAGTACACCACGACACCTTCCTGTGTCAGCCGGCACTTCTGCGCAGCTCAGCAGTTTAGTGCCTGGGCTTCGAGTCACACAGAACTAGGTTCTCATCCTTGCTCTGCTACTTAGTTGCTATGGTACCTTTCAGATCCTCTCTGAGCCTCAGTTTCCTCCTCTGTAAAATGGGGATAGAAATAGCACATACCTCGTAGTGTTGTGCTGAGCCCTTCATGAGATCACTCGTGATGTGCCTCCTCCAGGGCCAGCTACCTTCTAAACGCCTGATGAATGGCAGTTATGACTCACCCTTTTTTTTCGTTAATCCTCACCTGAGGCTCTTTTTTCCATTGATTTTTTTTTTAGAGAGAGTAGAAGGGGGGGGGAGAGAAACATCGATGTGAAAGAGACACCTGGATTGTTTGCCTCCCGCATGTGCCTTGACTGGGGCCAGGGAATCTATCCTGCAACCCTTCGGTGCGCAGGCTGATTCTCCAACCACTGAGCCACAGCAGCCAGGGCGTGACTCACCCTTTTTAATGGTCACATGGACTCCATAGTATGATGTGCCACTGTTTCTTAACCATTCCCCTTTGATGGACATTAGACTGTACTCAGTTTTCTTGGTTGTAAATACCAACGCATTGACCACTGAACATACACCTTTCACCCGCGTGTGTCGGATCCACTCCCCGCAGCGGGTCCCTGGGTCCCCTGCCTTCTAACCTCTGCATCCTCTCTCTCTTCAAGGAGGCAGTGAAAATGCCCTGTGGGGTGAAGCATGTGTGCTACGTAGGTTTCTTTTTATTCCCCCTTTGCTCCCTCTCCCCAGGCCTGGTGGGTGGGGGGCCCTTCCCAGTAGAGGCAGTCCCAGACCCCTGGCTTGCCTCCAAGCACCCTCGTGCTCCCCACTCGCCGTGCTGCTGAATGTCAGACTTCCAGTTTCCCCCAGACCTCGAACCTGACCATTCATGATACTTTATTCGAGGATTACTTTTCCGACCCATTTGCTTTCAAAACAATTACCCATAGTTTGCAGCAAAGTAAACGAATCAAAACATACTTAAAATGGGATTAAAGCCAAAGGGAGGCAAGAAAAAGGGAAGGAGGAAGGGGAATCTTGTTACAACAACCCCACCCCCTCTACCAGTCTTGGAAAGGTACAACTACAAGGTTCAAAGTTTATACTGAACTTCCTGGCAGCCATAGCAAAAAGGAGAGCAGGCTAGAGTCTGTAGCTCATTAGAAGGCCAAAACCCCACTCGAGCCTTGAAAGGTCCCACCTGATGAAATGGGACTCTAGTTGGGGGGGGGTGAGATGGGCCCAGTTACCTCTGAATATGTCTGGGAGTGAGAGGGGAAAATGAGAGGCTGGAGTGAAGACAGGCTCCTTTCCTGGGACACAGGCCAGCCAACCAGCCAGCATTTATTGAACCTTACTATGTGCCAGGCCTTTAGTAGGCATTGGGAATACAGTGGGGACCAAGACATGTTCCCTGTCCTCATGGAGCTTATAATGCAGGAGGGGAGAGCGGTGTAAGCCATTTCGGGTGAGGCGGGCACTCTGACATTGCTCAGTTTCGAGGTGCTCTTCTTCCCCGCAGCTGGACTCCGGGGCAGTGATCCACCTCCTGGGGGCCATCAGCCAGGGCCAGGCAGGGGAGCCTCTAAAGCTGGAGGCTCTGGAGAACATGATGGAGGTCAGCTCAGCCTCACCTGCCCAGAGACCCAGAAGGAAGGAAAGGACCAGGGCCTGGGGCCCCACTTGGTGCCAGGTACAGAACAAGTTCCTTTTTATTTTTTATTTGGTTCTTTACATAGGCAATGTCACTTAATCCTGGTGAGAGAGACACCTTCACACCTGATTTGTAGCCCATTGCAGCCCAGAGAGATGCTATGACTTGCTCATGGTCACACAGGATGCAGTGGCCAGAGGGTTAGGCCGCCGCCTGGCAGGTGGCCTGGGGGTCTTCGTGCCTTTCTCCTGTGCTCTGAACTCATGAGTGTGACTGGAGCGAGGGAGGGGCTGGCCTCAGTGCATTTGGAGAGGGAGCAGGCGCCCACCTTTGTTCCTGCCCATCCCAAGTCCCTCTGGTTGCCTCCCTCAGGAGGGACAGCGTGGGGCTCTGGTGGCCTCTCTGACCACTTCCACCATCTGGGAGTGGCTCCCTGACCCCCAGGGACCCCACTCCTCCTCCACATACTCTTTCTCTTGCAGGAGGGGCTTCCTTTTCAGGAGTCCCGCACTGAGCGGCCAAGGGTGAGTGCTTCTGCTCCTGTCACCCAGCCTCCTTCACTGGAACGTGGGTCAGAGGGAATGTGTGGCTGGGGAGAGCAGTGTCCCTGTGGGATCGGGAGGCTGGACCCAGAGACTTGGCCTCAGCTCCTCCCCCTCCCCCACAGTACGGCCCAGCGGAGGCTGACGAGGAGGAGCCCGGAGAACAGGATTGGGGAGAGGACTCAGGTAAGGGGCCATGCAGGGTGCCCTCAGCAGCCACCTGTCTTCCAGGGACTGGTGGAGACTGAAGGGGGCTCATACCCAGCATTCCCTGGAAGACAGGATATGTCTTCTCTCTCCCCCAATCAGTTTGTAGTCCTTCCCCAAGTAGCTAGGGGCTGCTGGCTCTCAGACAGATGGGGAGGCTAGGTCCCTGAGAGTGGGACCCCTCTTTTGCCTACCTAAGGCCCTCAGCATGGAGTCACTCCCTCCCCTTGCCCCGGAACATCCCCTGGGGACCCATGACCCTTTTTCCCCACAGCTCAGATTCAGCTCCAAAAGGATATTGGGGTTCGGGACACTGTGGTCCGTGTCATGCAGAAGGTGCTGTGGAGTCGGTAAGGCCTTGCTCCCCTCTCCCCTGACATCCCGATGGGCCACCACCTCCCTGGGCCATGCCACGTTCTAAGGGCTTCTCAGTGTATGACTAACCCATTTTGTAGCCTGGAGGTCACTTGCCCACACAAAGAGTGAGAAGAGAGGTGAACTTTGACCCTTGGTCTCTCTGGCTTCAAGATTATGCTTCCCCATTAAGCCCCTGCAGCTCTCAGGGTCTGCTCAGGTCCTCGTGGATGTCACCCACAGCAAATGTTTTCAGATACGGTGAGACTGTGGTGGGAGCATCTCAGAGATTTGAGCCCAGAGCTCTCATTTACTAATGTTGAGCCCAAAGCCCAGAGAGGGCAGGGCTTTGCAAAAGCCACCCAGCAAGTCAACTGCAGATTCAAGGTTACCGTCAGGGCCAGGGCTAGGGCTCTGTCCTCTGCCTTGGCTTACGCCTTACCCTCCCCCAGGCTTTCTCCCCTTTATACATTCCTCAGTTCCACTGGCCAGGGATAGAGCCCGAGCGAGGGCAGCGGTCAGATCATGTGGCCTTGGGCAAGCCACTTTCCTTCTCTGAGCCTCAGTTACCTTTCTGTAAATGGAGAATGATAAGACTTATTCCACAGAGAGCTGGGGTGAGAATAAATGGGTTCATGTAGGAAAACGCCCAGAACAGAAACTGGAGTTGGCCCAGACCCTGCTTCCCACCATGTCTCTCCCTCCTGGCTGAGGGCCTGGTTACCCTCCCACTTCAGTGCCGTGGCCCTGTCCTTGTCCCCCACAGCCTTCGGGAGCTCCCAGACCTGATGCTGAGTGAGGACGTGGTGGAAGGCATCGCTGCTGGCATCGAGTCTGCCCTCTTTGACCTGACACAAGCCACCAACTGCCGTTACAAGGCCAAGTACCGCAGCCTGCTGTTCAACCTGCGTGACCCCAGGAACCCTGTGAGCGGGACTGTGGGCTGGGCCAGGTGCCCCTCGGAGGCATAAAACCCCAGCAGGATGTTGGGGTGGGGGCTCTGAGCAGTGTGGTGCAGCCTCTGCCCCTGCCCCTGCTGCTGCCCCTGCAGGACCTGTTTCTCAAAGTGGTTCATGGAGATGTCACCCCCCACGGCCTGGTGCGGATGAACTCGATCCAGCTGGCCCCCCAAGAGCTGGCCCGCTGGCGGGACCAGGAGGAGAAAAGGGTGAGCTGTTGGGTCAGGACAGGATAGGTGACAGGAGGTCGGGGAAGGAGAAGTGGGAGGGGTGACGGGGTGGAGCAGGAAGGGAGACAGCAGAGTGAGGAGGAAGGTGGTGGGGCTCGGGGAGCGCAGGCAGAGGGAAGCATGGAAACGAGGCAAGGAAAAGAGTCGGGACTCCACCAGAACAGTTAGGAAGAGGCAGAGATAAAGGGGTTAGGACTGGGGAGCTTGGCAGAGAAGTGACTCCAAAAGGGGGTGTCTTCCACTTGCTTTTCTGTGGAGCTGGGCTTGGGAGGGGGCGCTGGGGATGATGGAGGCGCAGGCTCTGGAGTCCATGATGGACATCCACCATCCACGGGGAATGGCCCCCCTGGGATGCCTGTGTTCCAATTCCAGCCTTCGAGGCCCCAGAAAAGGCTGGAAGTCATCTTGGTGCCGCAGGCTGGGTGAGAGACCCCACTGCCCCCACACTTCACAGTTACGTCCACATATACCCTGTGTCTGTGGGTCTCCCCTCCCTGGGAACTGTTCAGGGGCTGGGAAGGTGTGGGCACTGAGCTGGTGCTGGGCATGTTTGTGTAGTGGCTTTTGTGGTCCAGTAAGAGAGGAAAGGACTGATCTAGGGAGTGGGGCCAGTGGGATGGGGTGGGTGCTAAGACTCCTGCCCTGGTAGACACTGATCAGAATCAATAGCTAGAATCCATTAGGTGAATCTGTCCACTGTAGGTTGAACTTCTGTCCAGGCACTGTGGGGGACCAGGGAGCAGGACCAGCTGCGTAACTGGTGGGGCCAGTGCCGAATGAGAATGTGGGGCCCTTTGTTCAACAACTATTAGGAATTTCTAATCTGTGCAGCTGCACCAGAGCCCGTGCCCATGAAGCCAGCACAACCAGGGAGGAGAGGACCTCCAGGGGCAGTTAGACGGGGAGACAGGCTTTCAGGAAACATTTTGGATAGGATGGCATTGATCAATAATAATCACAAGTAGCTTTTGCTATGAGCCAGGCTCTAGGCTAAGCACTCTACATATGCAATTTAACATAATGCTCTTAAGTGAATTCCTGGAGAACAGATAAACTGAGGCTTAGAGCGGTAAAGCACTTGCCCAAGGCCACGCTACCCTGTAGGTCTTTTATTAATGGCCCAGCTGGCACTCCGGAGCTTGCACTCTTCCCAGGACAGAGGGTGGGGTGTTCTCAGAAGCAGAATTGACTTGCGGGTACAGGCGAAGTTCAAGAAGGCTTCCTGGAGGAGGCAGGGCTTGTGCTGGAGGGTGAATGAGTGGAACATGGAGAGGTAGGGCTGAGTGGGGAGGGCTTTCCAGGTGAGGGGAAAGGCAGAAGCAGAAGTGTGGGGGAAGGGAAAGGGCTGGCTTGAAAGAGGACCACAGGAGTGGGGCTTCAAGGGAGGACAGTGAGCATTTGGGCTCTTGGTGACTGGAGAGCCGTGAACCTAGCCGAGCTTGGACTGCCCCACCCTGCAGGGCCTGGAGATTATTGAGCAGCAACAGAAGGAGCCGTGTAGCCTCCCGACATCCAAACTGACTCACAAGGGTGAAGTTGAGATCCTGCGGGATACTGACCAGATGTTGACCCTGGAGGATCTGGTGGTAAGCGGAACCCAACCTAGAGCCCGGCAGGGCCTGTGCCAGGGATCCCACTCCTTACCTCGCCAGCTGTGTGCCTTGGGCAAACCACCTGACTATTCTGAGGCCCACAGTCTTCATTATAAAGCTGAGTATTGATCTACCGCATAGGGTCCCAGTGAGCATGGGGTGAGACAGCCGCCTGGTAGCTCCTCGGTGCTGGTCCCCCTCTTTTTGACCTAACTCCAAAGGACTTCATGTGAGTGATCCTATCCCCACAGTCCCCCCAACCACAGACCTGACCAGATACCTGGTTGGGAAGCAGGTGAGCCACTGTTCGAGGCAGTGTCTGTGCATGTGAGGAACAGGGACCTGCTCTACTCAGCAGAAGGACTTAGGGGGGTTCCAGCCAGATCGCAGGGCAGTCAGTGCGAGTATCCTCTTATCGCTGGGGATCTGCCCCATCCTCATGTCCGTCCTGCTCCTCCCTCCTGCTGGGCTCCTCCGTCTGGCACATGGCCTGATGTGGTGGCTCAACAGCCCCTCCGGTCAATGCACCCCCAGCTCAGCCCGCTGCAGCTGTCAGAGCTCCCCCGTGGCTTTTGTTGGGGTTCTGTGAGTCAGATGTTCACCCCAGTCTAATCAGCTGCATGTCCAGGACGGGGAGTGCAGGGAAGGTCCCTTGAGCCATGCTCACTGGGGAAATGGCAGTGATCATGACAGACAAAAGTCCCTGTTCCTCCCAACCAGTATCCAGGCCAACAACCAGAGCTGCTGCCTGTGCAGAGGAGCCCACAGGGGTGTGGCTGCTCCCCAACCAAAACCAACCTGCATCCCCTGAATAGACTGAATCTTGAGAGAAGATCTGGAGAGAAGAGAGAGGAAGAGCAAGGGGGTGGCAGAGTAGGGGAGGGAAAATAACACACAGTAATCTTTACTCCTTGTTGAAACACCTGCTGTGTGTGCCTTCTACAAACAGTGCCTCCTTCAAATCTCACAGTGACATACGAGGTAGGAGATGCCAGTTTCCTGGAAGAGGAACCTGAAGCCACTTGCCCGGGTCACCTAGTTGGCATGGGGGCAGGTGAAACTTGAAGCCAGGCTGTCTGACTCCAGGGCCTGAGCCTTGGCACTACTTTGAAGGTGGTTTGTAGGGCAAGAGTAGAGGTCAGAAATCTTGACTTTTCCTAAAGCAATGATTATTTTGTATTTAAAACTGTTTCTATTATGAGGAAGAAAGGTGATTTGGCCATGGGCATCAAGAGTCTTAAAAATGTTCATTCTCCCTAATTCTGTCATTGACTTCTGAGAACTTGTCCTAAGGAAATAATAAAAAGTTTAGGGAACTACTTTCTGCACAAGGATGTCCTCAGTACCACTTGTAATAGTGAAAACCTGGGGATGACCCTGTCGTCTAGCAACCAAGGCGATGTGCGCTGCCACGCACCCCATCTGTGTAACACCTGCAGGGACCATGTAACATGCTGTAATTCAGGGACAAGACGAGAATACAGGCACACCCTGTTTTATTGGGGTAACATTGGTAATAAAATTATATAGGTTACAAGTGTACAATTCTATGATATATCATCTGTACATTGTATTGTGTGTTCACCACAATACAGTATTTTTAAGGTAGGTACGTTTTTATATACATAAGGCTACTGAACACTCAATAGGCTATGGAATAGTGTAAACATAACTTTTATATGCGCCGGGGAACCAGAAAGCTCACCTGACTCTCTGTACTGCTATATTCGCTTTGTTGTGGTGGCCTGGAACCGAACCTGCCATGTCTCTGAGGAATGCTTTACAGGTTGAACACACAGACACTGTCCCAAAAACATGTATACACACTTTAACAGCCGATAGCTCAATTGATGTTTCTTTCTTTTCAGCCAGACTAAGCTTTGAACAAAGGAAACTCATCCTAAAATGCTACTGGAAGTTTGAAAACGCAGTTGAAGTAGAAACACTGCCTTCATAATTATTGTTTAACAGCTGATAACTCAGTTAATTTTCACTCCTTTTCAGGTTTAACTGATTTGAAATAATGAGTGAAGCCAGACTAAGCTTTGAACAAAGAAAACTTATCCACTAGATTTTTTGATGGGGATACATAAAAGATAAAGTTTACGGTACAAAACCAGCAACAGTTGATGAATTGAGGGCGCACAGATACCGAACGAAATGATACTTGATGTCGCGATTCCACTGCTTCGCGTTATGAGCAGCGCCTGGGCCGGAACGGTCATCAGTTTGCACACAGGCGTTGACAAAAAAGAATTTATTCCTTTCTGTAGATTCTTTTAAATTTTGAAAATGAACTGTATGTCAATAAATACTGACTTTGTAATCATTCAAAGTGTGTATACATTTTTGGGGGGCCACCCTATATTTTTAATTCTCATCTGAGGATATGTATTTTAAAAAGTTGACTTTAGAGAGAGGGAGGGAGGGAGGCTGGGAAGGAGAGAGAGACAGAAAGAAAGAGACAGGAATTGGTTGCCTCCCGTACGTGCCGATCAAACTGGATATCGAACCTGCCATCTCTTTGGTGATGCTACAACTAACTGAGCCACCTGGCCAAGGCCAGGTTGGATATTTGATCTTAGCTATTTTAGTAAAAGGATCCCTAAAACCTGTGTAGCAAAAAGCTATGATAAAGGAATACCCAGAATATCCACAGTTTTCTCTGAGTGATAGGACAAGGGGTGATTTTTAAAAATGTTCTGTATTTTCCAAATTTTCTTTAACAAGTTCACAGTACTTTTGTAATATAAGAACATATTATTTGGAGAAGTAAAACCATGTTCCCGAGGCTTTCTGCTCATGGAGGGCTCCTGACTTGCCCAGCTGCCTTTCCAGTCCACCCCCTCTCCTGTGCCTCCCAGGGACCCATGGTGTCCATAGACTGCAGCCCACTGGCCCTGCCTCCCACATCAAAGGAACCCCTGGAGCAGCAGGAGGAGCCCACGGAGCAGCAGGAGGACCCTACGGAGCAGCACGAGCAGCATTTCTTAGACCCCAGCTGCCACTTCTGCAAGGGTGTGGGAGAGAGAGGGCGCAGGGGGGCGGGCAGGCTGGGGCTGAGTGTGAGGTTCAGCAGTAACAGGGATGTGCGGCCTAGGGAGAAGGTGGCAGGGTGGCGGTGCCTATGCCCCAGGTCACCTCCAAAATCACCTGCTTTAAACCCTGGCTCTCAAGCCCTGGGCTGGCTTCAGCCTAGCCGCCTGCCCCTGTTTCAGCTCCTGCTTCTGCTGTTCGCAGACTGGAAGCCCTCCTGTGAGCTGCCAGGCTTCTCGAAAGCCAACGGGAGGGTGGAGGGCAGTGTCTTCCAGAGAGCCCCAAGCCCAGACTCTGTGTCCTCTCCAGAGATGCCCCAAATCGGGGAGAAACCTCCCACGGAGCCCCAGGACAGGTGTGGGGCTGGGGGCAGGGAGGTGGGGGAAGCTACCCTCTGGGGCAGCAGACACAGCATGGGCTTTCCTTAGGTGGCCTTGGACAAATCTTACCTCTTCTGTGGGTCTCAGTTTTCCCATCTGTGCGGTAGAACTAATCATCCTGCCTCCCGATTCCCACCTGCATAACCCCATGATTGGACCAGTGTTGTAGCACCCACAGTGGGGACCTGGGACCTTCTTGGAAAAGTAAGACGTTGCTGGGGGAAGCCCTGATGACCTGTTCTGCCTGGCCCTCTCTCTCTGTTCCTCCCTCTAGGCTCCAGATGCCTGCTGGGCCCACGAAGGCCCTGCCCAGCCAGCCGCCCTGGGAGGGGGCTGTGGCCATGTTCTCCATCAAGCAGTTCCGGGTCAAGGCCCAGCTGGTCTCAGGACGCAGCTGTCAGCTCATCATGGTACCACTGCCCTATTCACCGGGGACCCCTCACACGCTGACCAACAAGCCAGTTCCACCCTCATCCACTCACTCACTCACTCTAAGACCCTCTCTGTGCCTGGCCCTGGGCTAGACATGGGGACAAATGAGATGCCAGCCCCACTCCTGCAGAGACACCCACATGGGTAAAGGACTCCCTGTAACCCAAGGCAAGAAGGACCCAGGAGAGGGGTCTGTGCCTCCCTGGCCCTGAGGAGATTTTAGGAGTGTGATTGTTATGTGACTAATGATCAGCTGAAGTGTGGGAAGAGGGTGGGAGGTTAGAGGAGGGATGAGGGGCTCCTGAGAAGTAGGAGATTAGCCAGGACAGGGTATAGGCCTCCAAGGGCAATTAGGGCTTCCTGGGCAGCCACTTGGGGCCCTGATAGGCTGGCTGTTCATCTTCTTTGTCACAGATTGTGGCCTTCAGGTAGCTAGTGTCGAGCCTGTCTTAAGTGGGTGGGAATCTGGGGGGCTGACTGGCCATGCTACCTGCCCCCAGGCCCTGCCCGAGGTGATCCGCTCAGCAGGCTGCATCCCCCCCAACACCGTCTGGGACCTTCTGGCTAGCATCTGCCCAGCCAAGGCCAAGGTAACCATCCACCCTTGGGTACCACCTCTTCTGCTAGCACCGTACCCCAAGCCCTGTGTTCCCTCTCTCTACCTCTGGAGCAGAGGCCTGGTGTAAGATATTCAGGTCTAGTTCCCACTGTGACTGCAGGCTCACTGTGTGACCCTGGGCAAGACCCTCTGTTTCCTTCTCTGGAAAATGGGGACACACTTCCTCACAGGGGTTTAGATGAGAGCAGGGTGTTTGCAGGAGTGAAGGATGATCACTTCTTCCTACGACTGCAGGACATCTGTGTGGTCAGACTGTGCCCACAGGGAGCTCAGGACACCCAGAACTGCCGCCTGCTCTACTCCTACCTCAACAGTAAGCAGTGCCATGGCCTGGCAGCTGTGGATCATGCAAGGATGGTCCTGCTGCCCCTGCCTGCCTTCCAGCCCCTGCCTACCAGACTGCGCCCTCTTGGAGGCCCCGGTGAGTATCCTGATGCCCATACAAGACCCTGCCTCCCTTCGCTTGGTGACACTGTCACCCGTGTCTCTGTGGAGGCAGGCACATCCCAGAAGGGAACTCCTGAGACAGGAAAATATAACAATAACAACGGTAGCTCATATTTGTATATTGCTTACTACATGCCAGAGAGTGTTCTGAAAGCTTACTTATGCTAATTCACTTAGTCCTCAAATAACCCTAGAATGGTACTATTAGTTTCTTCATTTCACAGATGAGGAAACTGAGGTACGGTCAAGCCATCCATACCCACCTTCAGTCAGGTGAACCCTTTCTCGCATTGAGAGCAAATCTTCCAAGATTTGTGGGAGTGTTCACCCTCCCACTGACTTTCCCCAGCATCTCATGGGCCCCCATCTCACTGCTGGAAAACTCTTCTTGGGGTCTAGCCTCCAGGCCTCCTGCCACAGCCAGAATGCAGCTTCTAATGATCAGCTGAAGTGTGGGATGAGGGCGGGAGGTTAGAGGAGGGAGTGAGGGGCTGTGCATGCTCTCCTCCCAGGCCTTTGGTCTGCCCTCTTTCCCCAGGCCTGGAAGTCACGCACTCAAGCCTGCTGCTGGCTGTGCTGCTCCCCACGGCAGGGCTTCCAGACACAGCGGAGTCCAGCCCCTTGGAGAAGGTTCGCAAGACGGTCTCCTTCAACAGAAAAGTGGAGATGAGATGCTACCAGTGGAAGGACAGGAGGCAGGATGTGGCCCTGAAGGGCTCCCCTCCCTCAGGGGGTACCCTGCAGCAGAGCCAGGGCAAAGGCAGCCTGGCTCCAAGGGGAATTAGTGCTTGGCAGAAGCCCTCTAGAGGCAGGGGGAGACTGTGGGAAGAGCCTGAGACCTGGCAGAGTCCTGGGCGAGGGCAGTGGCCCACAAGACCAGGCTGGTGCCAGCCCCGACGTGCCTATTCAGCAGCACCAGCTGGCCATGGCCAGCACCTCCACAGGGCATCCTGTCCCCAGCAAGCTCTGCTCCAGCATCTTGAATCCCTGGTGATTATGAGCCACCAGCTCCAAGCCTCCCTGAGATCCCCAGGCCAGGAGCTCCTTCCCCCGTCCCCTGCAGCCTGTGGAATTCTTGGCCTCTTTTGCCAACACCCTGCAGCTCCAGAGCCCCCTGGCCCAGCCCCTGACTCCTGTTTGGGGCCCGCAGATGGAGCTGGCTCTGAGTGTCCCCTCCCCAGAGAGACCTGACCCTCATTACTCACCAGAAGAGGAGCTTTGATTCCCTCACCAGTGCTGAGTCCTGACCTGTTCCAGGGAGAGACTGGGGCAGAGGAAGGGGAGGGCCAGCTCAATCCACCTGCCCCTTTTGAGTTTCCTGTTTTGCAAACTGCTTATAGTTGATTTTTGGTTCAATAAAGATTTTGACAAAGTTGAGGCTATATGCATCTGCTTGGCTGGGCAGGAAGACCCAGGGCCTGGCCAGGTGTGGGTTGGGGTGGGTGTGTCTGGGAGTTTTTGAGCACAGATGTAGCAAAGCTAAAGTGCTGGGATGGAGGAGCAGCCTTGCCAGTTGCTTGTCTGAGATCCTTAACTATCACTATGTGCGAGGTCACAGCTGTTGCCATGGTGGGTTCTGGAAGCATTCTGCAAGTATTTCGAACTAGGGGGAAGAAGAGGTAATGGGAGAGAAGGCAGGACTAGGGTGGGAGGAGAATTAGGCTTTTGAAGGGGCATAGGCACCTAGAGATTGTTAGGGAGAAATGGGAGATCAAGTTGCAATGGTTTTAAAATTTTTCAGTTACCAAGATTTTTTTCCTTTGGATAGTTGGGGTAGCGGTGGGGCTACCACCATAGTCCCTAAGTGTCTTTGTGTGTTCATCTGCCTGTGAGCAGGTCTGTGCGTGTTTGTGTGTCTGTGTGTGTTTGTGTGTCTGGTGAGGAAGTCGGGAGATCCATAAAGGATGACTCCTCTCTGTATCTCTTGTCAGTTCCCGGACACTGGGACTGGAGAAAGCCAAGGGTCTGGACATGGCAGGTGTACATTCAAGCTGGTGTTAGGGCTGGATGGTACTGCTTTGCCTGGGGCCTGGAGTGAGCTACTAATAGCAGCTACAACTGTAAAGCATATCAGTGTGGGGTGTACCTTGGGAGAACTGAGTCTGGGGACTGATCTGCAAACTAGCTGCCTAACCCACACGGAGAAGCAGGATCTGACTTGGAGAACTTCGCCCCAAACCTTAAGGGGCGTACCCCTGCCCACCCCTTCTTGACGTCTACCTTGTACCAGCCTCTCCCTGGACCATGCTGGACTGGGAAGGATGGGGTGTGGGCTGTTGGGGGGAATCCCTCTTCTCCGCCCCATGAACTCTGCTGCTGCCCTACCCGCGGACGACAGCAGAGGGGGCCCTAGGCCTTGGGATGGAGGTCGGGGCTGGCAGGACTAGAGGCCGAGCTGGGGGTGGGGCGAGGAGTGGCCTTTTAGCCTAAGGGATTGGAGGCAGGGGCAGCGGTGGGCTGCTGGGTGGGACTGGAAGAAGGGACTGGACAGGTGAACCAGCGGAAAGGTCGGGGCCCCTTCGGAAACTTTTCTGGCTTGAGCGGCTTGTGAGCGCCACAGCTTCTGTGCTATATGCAAATGACACAAATTACTATGCAACCTACGGCTCTATTCCGAGTCTGCAATTTGGGTCATTTTCCTAACGCAGCTGAAGCGGGAGGAGTTGGAGCAGGAGATGGCCGTGCACTCCCTCCCCAGGTGCAGGGCTTCCTCCCAGGGAGACGGGGCCCTTGCTGCCTTCCCGGGGCACTCAGGAAAGAGCAAGCTCTGTAGTCTGGGCTGGGGCTTCCTTTCAGTTTTCCCCTTTGTGAAGAGGGGGTTATCGGTGGACCCCGAAATCCTGCAGCCTGCTTCGAGGCCGGAGGCTGGTGAACAAGACGTCCAGCCACCTTTTGGCGCTAGTCCACAAGCCCCTTGCCTTTCTTTTGGCAGCGGAGGCCCGGACGGTGGATTAGTCGAGCGGTTGCTAGGGGGCGAGGCCGACGGTTGCTAGGCTCGACGAGATGTTGCTAAGCAACGCTGGGCGGGGCTCACGTTGCTAGGCCGGCGTAGGAGGCGCCCGCGACTGGAAGGCCGCCGAGCTCCCCGGGGTTTCAGTGGAAGGCGCCGCGCGCCGCCGCTCTCCCCGCGCCTTTCTCCCAGCTCAGCGTCGCCAGCTGGACGCGGGCTCTGCGGGGCCTTCCGGTTCACACCCGCCGCGACCCCGTGATGCTCTGGGCTCTGCAGCGAGGAACCCTGGGTCTTTGTGCACGTGTCTTTGCGACTGCTTGTACAGTGAGGTGTGTGTATGGGGGGGTCGCTTTTGGGTTTCCATAGAAACTTCTGTGTCATCCCATTGCTTCCCAAGGTTTGAGCGGCTGCTCGTGCAAATTTACATATATCTGCATGTCATTAACATAGAGGCGGGCCGGAACTTGTCTGGGCAACTCTCCCTGGACAGTTCGCTTTGCTGCTTAGCCTGCCTGATGGGCACGAAGGCTGCGCATGCGTGAGCGTTTTTCTTATTAATGTTCCCAGATTGGGGTTGAGTGGGTAAAATGTAATAGTGACCACCGATTCCCGGCCCTGGTCACCTTATTGAACCATTAGATTGAATCCATCCAGATACCCCTGACCAAAGACCCCCAGACCCCCAGGTGATGGTTGGAATCCCAATTCTGCCCTTTCCAGGCTGTGTGGTCTTGGGCGAGTTTAGTTTCCCTCTCTATGGCTAAGTTTCCATCCCTGTAAGAGGAATACTAATCCCTGACTCACTGGGTTATGTGAGGGTTCAGTGAGATGCGACTTTTGCATTCACTCATTGCTGCTTCTGGCACACAGTAGGCATTTAATGGTAGCTCCCTCCCTCTCTCCATAGAGCCCAGCTCCTCTCAGGACCCAACCAAAGCAAATCAACTTCCTTTGCAGCTCAAGACATGACAACTAACAACATTAGGACAGACTTTCAGATGTCAGGGCAGACTGGATTTGAGGCGCAGGACGTGGACTATTGGTTTGTTTGCCTGCTTGTCGTTCTTGGAGGCTGGAGACCAGGTTGGTGAAGCATGGACCCTCCCACCCCCACC